TGACTTCCGCTACAAGTGACGATTCTGCTCCATTACGCACCATAACCTTCCCCTTGTCTGAGGTCGAAATACAAACCCCCAGACTTGCCAATTGATAAACCTCCCGAGCCAAAGGCCTCTGATCCGCTCCCAAATGAGCCAAACTACCCATGGACTTCTGACTGAGAGCGTCGGCCACCACATTCGCCTTCCCTGGATGGTATAAAATATCCATATCATAATCCTTGATCAATTCTAACCACCGCCGCTGCCTTAAATTCAACTCCTTCTGCTTGAACAAATATTGGAGACACTTGTGGTCCGAGAACACATCCATATGGACCCCATAAAGATAATGACGCCATACTTTCAAGGCAAATACAAATGCCGCAAGATCCAAATCATGTGTCGGATAGTTCTTCTCGTGATTCTTGAGTTGCCTTGAAGCATACACTATAACCTTCCCATGTTGCATCAACACACACCCCAAACCGACCCTGGAGGCATCGCAATAAACCACAAACCTTAGGCTTTGATACCAAGTTTGTCACGCCCCAAAAACCGAGAGGCGCGACCGGCGCTCGACCGGGTAGCCCCCAGCCAAGCGGACCTGGGTGTATTTCCTATTCCACGTGATACCTTGTGTTTCCATTACCCATTAACCAAGTGAAATAGCCATTTATAAATTTAAACACATTCTTACGAGATTTACATAACATACATAGTTACTTAGCGAGGTTTACAAGTTATACTGCCCAAAATACATAAGTACATAACCCATATTTCCTGTCTACGGAGCCTCTAGAGATACAGAAGAGTGTTACAATACTTGCCGATAACAAGGCTCCGGCTATACCTTACGCAAATACTAAAATAAAATTTTCGGGAGGATAAGCGGCATGAACCACGCAGGGCCCTGGGAGGAAAGGGGCTCACCAATTCAGCTGATGGGAGGTGAAGGAGTGCTACTGTCGGTGGGATGGAGTACCTGTTATGGAACCACCTATAATCATAACACGAATGTAGCGCCCCCGGCAAAAGAGACGTTAGTACATTTGAATTGTACTGGTATGTATGAACAAACTTTACCCCAAGTAAAATCAAGAAATACACAGATAACAAACAGTAATAGAATTGACAATCAAATGCAGATGAAAGGAACAACTAAAGCCAAACAACTCCACAATCTCTCCTTTTCCCCTTTCAACATTATTTCATCACATCAATGATTTCACAACTTTCACATATTTTTATTTCAATAGTGATTTCGATCACTTTTCCACCCTTATTACCTCGGCTACCCTTATTACCTCGACCACTCTTATCACCACAACCCACACCTTATAACTTCATGTTACGGCACGCAACCCGATCCCACCGGACAATCACATTTCACACGACAAAAACAACAATTCACAAAGAATTTTCATAAATGTCAATATCATTTCCATCATATGCATCAACCCGTATACAACTTAAGTCACAACGATAATTGCCTGCGACAAGTCACGTATGATATTACCATAGTTGTTTCAATTGCATCAATTACGATTTCTTTCCATCATTTGTTACACAGTTCTTACCACATAAACACATTCACACACACATTTGGTTTGTTGCCATTTACTTACACCCTTATACCGGGAGACTTAACCAACAACGTTCAAGGCATATTAATCACAAGAATTCGCAAATAGTCCACATAAGTAACACATACCAATTACTCGTACACCAAACAAGGTCACTTTACAAAGGTTAAAGTTAGCAATACAAACCTGGAGTCGAATTCCCCCTTTTTCTTCTTCTATTTCCAATTCACCAACAACCTAGTACCGTTAATCTAGTTCACAAGTTAACACATATAACTTAGAATTGAAGTTCACAAACTCAGCCCGAACTTACTTAGGTTATCAACCCCTCTTTTGCAAATCTTTAGTTCTATCCAATTCCTCTTACTAGATTCTAGGTTTTAAAGGACATGCATGTGTATCTAAACTTCCATTTTCAAGAATTAATGCATGAGAATCCCTCTTTTTGTTTAAATCTGAAAACAATGGAAAAGGGTTGGGGATTTTGCCTGCAAGAATGGCGATGAAGACAATTACTTGAAATTCCTAGGCCCGAGTGACTTTGAAGAATTAAATTGATGAATGTAGGACTTTATCTCTCAAGAATTCTCTCTTCCCTCTCTTTAGTTTTGTTCAGAAAATATATTAAAATAAGGGGTTGGGGTATTTTATTGAAGAAGGGGTCATATTTAAAATTTAGAAAAATAGGAGCCCGAGTTAGGTATGCGATCGTACTTTGCGATCACAGTGTTGAAATGCGGTCCGCAGAATGGACCGCAAAAGTGCTCCCAAAATATGAACACACTGCCTGGGTATGTGGCAGAAATGCGGTCCGCATACCCGTTATGCGGTCGCATAGTGCACCGCAGAACTGTCCCTCACAAAATCCCAAGGGAAATATGTGACGATTATGCGCTCCGCATATCCGTTATGCGATCGCATATTAGACCACATATTTAACCTCCAATTCGACCAACACACTGACTCACTTTGCGGCGATTATGTGGTCCGCATATCTGTTATGCGACCGCATTCTAGACCGCAAATTGCATTTCCTGGAAAACAGTATTTCTTGACTTTTTATAACATAGATCAGTACCAAAAGGGTCCGAACCGCGGCTCGCTTAATTTTACACATTCCTAACATATATTCGGGACTTGGCACCACGAGCTACCCGGTTTTGGGTACATGTTTTCATGGGTCCTTACATAAATACTAAAGAACTCAATTCCAATGCTTAATTATAGGTTTTTCAATATATTTCCCAAAAAGTCAAAAATCGACCCCAGTCCCTCTTGGTCAAAACTCAAAGTTCGGACCAAAACCCGATTACCCATTCACCCCGAGCCTGGATATGTAATTTGTTTCGGAATCCAACCCCAAATCGAGGTTCAAATTCCCAAATTTGCAAAATTCCCAATTCCCCCAAAACCCCTAATTTCTACCTTTAAGAACAAGATTTAGGCCTAGAAATCTAATGGGTATTGATGAAAAATGAAAAAGATGAGTTTAAGAACACAAACCTATGATTTAATGTTGAATCCCCACTTCAAAAATCGCCCAAGGTTGAGTTTTAATGGAAGAGATATGAAATTTTGAACAAATCCCGTAGGTTCTGTTTTAAAATCGCTGGACAAGTCTTATTCGCGTTCGTGAAGCATTGGCCAGAAGAGCCTTCACGTTCGCGAGCCGATTGCCGCGTTCGTGTAGAGTATTTCACCCTTCCCCTAGGTCCCTGCCAAAATGGCCTTCGCGTTCGCGATAGCCAGGTCGCGTTCGCGAAGGGTAATGCCCCCAACACTCCGCGTTCACAACATGTGCCTCGCATTCGCGTAGAAGGAATTTTCCTTCAGACAATTTTACTCTTCGCATTTGTGAGAGTTCCTTCGCGAACGCGAAGAAGGATACATTTGTGCATATGCAACAGCAAAACAACAGAAATCTCTAAGTCCAAAACATCCCGAAACCTATTCGAAACACTCCCGAGCCTTCGGGGCTCAAAACCAAACATGCACACAAGTCTAAAAACATCATACAGACTTGCTCGCGCGATCAAATCGCCAAAATAACACCTAGAACTACGAATTTAGCATCAAAATCAATGAAAATATCAAGAACACTTAAAGTTACTATTTTCACAACCGAGGGTCCGAATCACGTCATATGAATTCCGTTTCTTACCAAATTTCACCCATATGACTTAATTACCATATTAAACCTGTACCGGACTTCGGAACTAAAAGTACGGGCCTCATACCAACAAGATCAATCATTATTAAAAATTCTAAAAACCATTATATTTTTCAGTTAACAATTTTCTTCAAAAATTCATTTCTCGGGCTAGGGACCTCGGAATTCAATTCCGGATATACACCCAGGTTCCATATTTTTTCACAGACCCTCCAGTACCGTGAAATCATGGGTTCGTATCCGTTATCCAAAATGTTAACCGAAGTTAACTTAATTCAATTTCCAAGGCAAAATTAGCATTTTTTCTCAAATTTTTACATAAAGGCTTTCCGGAAGCGCGCCCTGTTTACGCACGCAAATTGAGGAGAAAGAAAATGAGGTCTTGAAGGCCTCAGAACCCTAAATTGGGTTCTAAAGTGCGAGATGACCTTTTGGGTTATCACAACTCTTCATACATGTTTGGCTCCAAATCGGGGGCATACCAATTGTTAAGCGTAGATCCGCGCCTGGACTAAACGCCACAACTGGTTTGGTTATTTATTTTATTTTTAACTCGCTTATCTTATATTCTTGATCATTTAAGTTGAATGAATCCACATATCTTTAAAATTGCGTATAAATTCAATTGTTATCTATTTTAAGGATAAACAGTATCTTAAGAGAAACTTCTTCATAACTTTTACTATTAATTAACGTTAAAACATTTGAGCATGTTAAAACATGCATTTGTAAGTTGTAACCAGTCATTTTAAACGTGGTAGGTTCCATGATGTTTTTCCTCTAAATGAGGTATCTAGGGGTTGGTTATTTCCTATGCATTATTGGTGGACCTTCATATTGTAATCATATTGACCTATATTTTCTATGTAGTAACAAAGAAATTTTTAACATAGAAACTAATTAGGTAAAGTCGGTCAAACCAAGGTGGACCGTTGACTTTCACCATACTACCTATATTTTCGGGTAAAATTCACAAAATCACTTTTCATTATAATTCCTTATAAAATAGCATTTCCTCCTTCCCAATTTTTGTGCTGCTCGAATTTTAAAAGTCAAACAAATTATTCTTTGACCATTATTTTTTCTTATTCCTTTTAATTATTTAATTATACTGTGACTTATAGTATTTTTTACATAGTTTTTAAATATAAAAATTTTATTAAGAAAAAATAAAAATTCTATATTCAAATGTATTGTCAAAATTAAAATGTTTGAATTAATTGAAAGAAAGAAAAATATTACATAAATTGGGACAGAGGAAATAACTCTAAATTCCAGGACATTATTTTGAAACTTCATGGCAATGCCTATTTTTACTAATGTCAATATTTTCTTGAACTGACTTAGTCACGTACAAAATTACATAATGGAATTTAAGAAGAAACAATAGCTAAGCAGAGTACATATCGACCTCTTATTTAGAATTTAATACTGCCAACATAACTTTAAGCAGAGTAGCATATCATCCTCCTTTATTCGCGTAATTCGTCCTTCTTAAAAGATGTACTTCACTAATCCGGGAATATGAATTTCCTTAAAGTATTTTTCCCACTGAATAGTTGTTGGATCAAAATTAAACGTATCATCTGCATTACTTTCTTTTGTTACCATTAGCAACATCTCAGCGTTAGTATCATCGAAACTGGTAAGAAATCAACGGTAATGGTGTTAGAATACCAATTAAGCACATCACAGCTTTATATTTGATTAATTATTAGATACTTAAACAAACTGTTAACTATTTGGATGTGTTAATATAAAAAATACTCACACTCCTTTGAAGAACACGTAGGGCTTGTAGAGTTCAGCTAGTCGAATGACGAGATTGTTCCTTCTTTCCAAGTCTGTATGCAGCTTTTGGAAAAGTTGGCAAAGTATCAAGTTTGCCCACTCTAATATCTGAAATTTAACCAGTGGTAGACCATTAATGCGGCCATTAATGCTGAAGTGCATGCCGACATTACGTATCTCTCTTGCATAAATTTCGTAGTTTTTCATAAGAAGATATTAGTATTATTAAACCAACCTTTAATAATGGCTTGTAGTAGATTGTCATGTATTTATGAAGGCTAGCCATGCTATCCAGTGTACGAACTTTCTTTAGTTTGACCGGCTTCCCTCTTTCGTCAATCCACCGATTCTTCTTGAAGTAATCAACGGAAAATTGTATAGTATCACCAATATTTAGTTGATTCCTCCTAGAGGAGCTAATATGGTAAACAGTAGTTGAATGGGAAGAGCAATTTCTATGGGCTACCATAGCCGCGATGATTGAGTTCACTACCATATCAGCTGGAATCTAGGCAAGATGACATTAAGGAATTATAGACGAGCTAATTAAGACCAGCTGATGCAAACAAGAGAAAGTTGGGCATTTCAATATAACATAAGGTATACACAGGACATGCACACATACCACATCTATTATCGATTCTTTATCTCCCATGATAACATTCTGTTTTCCTTTACCATAGGCAACAATGAAGGTGTCCGCGGTTCTGTTGGAAGGAAGAATCGGATTCGCTTCGCTAAGACTCTTTTCCATATGCTCATGCATAA